GGATGCGTCCTTCCTTTCTTCCCCGAGTGCGTTTTCATCCCTTCCCCTCCTCCGTCCAGCGAGCTCAGGGCAGCCCCTCCCGGCGGAGAGTAAAAATTCAGCTTGCCCCCCCCTGCCGCCGCCGCCTCTGTTAGGAAAAAAACGCGGACAGGAGCCCCCCTCCCGCTGCCGCCGGAGAGGGGCCAGTGTACACGAGTCTGTGAGGCGAGGCGCGCTTTGGCCTGGTCGGGGCAGAGAGCGCCCCTTCAGCAGCGGCAGCCCTTCAGCCACCCTTGGGAGGAAGAGTGAGGTGGGGAAGGCCCACCTGAGGGGGAAGTTCGCCCTGCCAGAAGCGGGGCAGGTGGAGGGGGAGGAGGGGAGCCGGGAGAGGAGAGACGAGGAGGAGGAGAAGCCACCGCCTTGGCTGTGCTCCGCTCGGCCGACCGCGGGCAGGAGCCCCTGCCGCCAGAGAGGGGCCAGTGTGCATGAGTCCCGTCAGCCCAGCCTGGCCCCGGCGTGTCTGTGAGGCGAGGCGCGCCACCGGCGCTTTGGCCTGGTCGGGGCAGAGAGGAGGAGGACAGAGCCGCCGCTGGCAGGTGAGGGGGAAGCCCTTCCTGACACACGCACACGCGCACCCCCGCCCGTTCACCAGGATGCGTCCTTCCTTTCTTCCCCGAGTGCGTTTTCATCTTCCCCTCCTCCGTCCAGCGAGCTCAGGGCAGCCCCTCCCGGAGAGTAAAAATTCAGCTCGTCCCCCCCCCACCCCCGCTGCTTCTGTTAGGAAAAAACCGCCCAGAACCCAGCTGATGTCCTGAATGGGGATGCCCAGGGTTCCCTCTAAACTGAAGTGAGTACGAGCCGGCTCGCAGTTTTTTAGCCTCCGGCTCACCCTTTTTTGTCTCTGCTCCGGAAGGAGGGCTCCAGAGCAAACGAAGGCATGCAGCAGCCAAACTGCTCGCTGACAACTTTAATGCCGGCGGCTCACAAAGGAGAATTTTTGCTCACAGGACTCCACAGCTCTTAGAGGGAGGAGCGTTGCTCTGTGAATGGCTTGCCTAGTTGACTAAATTTAGCTGTACTTGCCCATGAATCAAAGCTTTAGTTTTAAAGAAGTATAGGTTGCCTGTAAAGTGCTGTGGGAGGCTGTGTCTCAGAAGTTAGAGGGTGGGTTTGCCTCTTATGAGATAGCTCCAGGCACCTGCAGATTTTGCAAGTCTTCCTAGTTTAAAAAAGCCTAGAGAGCTCTTAAAATTTGATGCCAGCTTAATATTGGGAAGGTTGTTTTAAAGAACCCAATCAGTTGAAAAAATGTTGCGGCCCTAAAAGTTATTTCTAAAACGCCTGTTGTTAAGATAGGCAAACTTCTATATTTCAGCAACCTGTGTGCTTATGCATGTGTGAGGAGATCATCTGTGCTCATGGTGCGTTTGCCCTGGATCCCCATCACTGAGGGCTGTGCCACAAACTAGCATCTCTAATTGTGCTCCTTTGCTTTTTTTTTTGCTGTTGGTGTAAATGACAACTATTCATTTATTGAACGGAGTTGCAGTCCAGTGGCACCTTTAAGACCAACAGATTTTAATTCTAGGTATCAGCTTTTTTGTGCATGCATGACCAACATGACTACCTATCTGAATCTATATTCATTTTCATATGAGAAAAGTAAAAAATTGTGCTTGGGGAGATCATTGGGATGGAGTCTCTCTGGGCTTTACCCCCAGTGACTGTATTTACTGGAATAAGCCCTGCTTTATCACACTGGAGTGTGTTGGAATGTTACAGCTAGTTATCTTTCTGCAGGACCTTTTGACTGTGCATGGCGTTTCATGGAGTAGCATAAATAAAAAGACTGGCTTGTGCTCTGAGGAGTTTACTGTCTAGACTGGGAGCAGAGGGGTTTGTATGTGCAGTGGGTGAGTGAGAGAGGGAACAGGAGAGGGCAAGATAACAAGGAATAAATGCAAGTAATGTGTAGAGCTTCTTGGCTGTGTGGGCCATGATGACATAGTGGGATATGTCTGCCATGGAGCTAGTGGGGTGTGACTGTGTGTGCTGCTGATATAAAACAGGTTGTGTGTTTTGCTGGCATTTCCATCATATGCTTGATTCAGAGGAATTAGCTGTGTTAGTCTGTTGCTGCAAAATAGTTCAAGAGTTCAAATAGCACCTTTAAGACTAACAAATAGCACCTTTAAGACTAACCTTTAAGACTAAGACTAACTGAGTGGTGGGTGTGGCCTTATGACACACTTCCGGTGATGCCAGGGGGTGTGGCCTTATGACACACTTCCGGTGATGTCAGGGGGTGTGGCATATGCTAATGAGTTATGCTAATGAGTTCCCCTAGCTCTTTTTCTACGAAATGATCCCTGCTCAAAAGTAACTGTATTGCCATAGTTAGGGGCAAATCCTCAGGCACAGTTTGAGGCAAAACTGTTCTGAAGTTTAACTATGAAATTGAAAACTGGCTTAATCAAAATCTGGTGCAGGGATTCTGAATCCATGCAATAAGCACCCTGCAATGAAAAACCATAAGTGCAGTTAATGGTTTGGATGGAAAACTTGAATTGACCTTAGCAAGTGTATGACTTTACTTGTAGGGGGAATAGTATTCCACTCCATTTGTTTTGGAATGACTACCTAGTGCGAAGGTATGGTATAGTGGTTACTGGTGAGACCCAGGTTCAAATCTCTATTCTGCCATGAAAATTTGCTGGCTGACCTTGCGCCAGTTATATACTCTCTGCCTCCTACTTCACAGGATTGAGAAGATAAAATGAGGAGGGAAGAACAATGTAAACTGCTTCGGGTCCTCAGTGGGGAGAAATGTGGGGTATAAATAAAGTAAATAGTGACTTGAGAATTCTGCGTATCCAGGAAAAAATCTGGCTTCTATATCCTTCCACTGTGTGGTGAATCTGTGTGTGTTTTATTGGTTTCAGTAAAGCTACTTCCACCTAAAGCAACTTGCACTGTGGGTTTGGGATCCTAAGTTAGTAGTAGAGTTTCTAAAGACATCATATCTCTCCCTTATATATAAAGCCATAGTGGGCTCCAACGTTCCAAAATGCACACCTTTAGTGTTTGGCCGCAAGAACTGTCAGTCAGAAGACGCTGGCTGGGTTGACTGGCTGCTTTGTGTAGTCCCGCCCACGTCAGCCCCGTTTGGTTCAGTCTGCTCAGTCTGCTCTGGGACTCTTGACAGGAGAGGACCATCTGCAGACTGAACGCAGGGACGGGGCTTCTACGGCTGGGCCGCTTCAGCCCACTCTTCTCTGATTGGGCCAGCGTTTCAAGGTCATTTGCATATGGAAGCTGATTGGACTTCACTCCATTCCACACCTCAAACACCCCCTCCCCCGCAAAACAGTTGGAACTGTCAGCTGCTTATGTGACCTGGTGTATTCTGAGGTAAAATATGTCCTCACTCACAACACTTCCCCTTCAAAAGAAACAAACCCAATAACACAATCATGCCACACCACAAAGAAGACAGATCACACCACAAGCAGAATACCACAAGGCAAAAAATGATAGGAAACGGTGCCAGCAGTCACCCCATTACTGCCACAGATGGTGTGCAAGTCCCAGGTTCATGTTTTAAAAGCTGCCTGGGGGATTATGGACCATTCACACACTTTCAACCTTAACATACCTCATAGGGTAGTTGTGCGGATCATATGGGGGAGAGGATAATGATGTCAGCTGCTTTGGTTCCCACTGCAGGGAAAGACTGCCCTTTCCCTAGACAGAGTCGGGGGGGGGAATGTAAACCTGGAGACAGACAGGCAGATAAAGGGAGGCTGCCAACTCCAGGTTGGAAACTTCCAGGATATTTTAGGAATGAAGCCTGCTGAGGGTGGGGTCTGAGGAGGAGGAAGAGGGGGACCTCAGACAGATACACATAGACCCCATCCTCCAAACAAGTTGTTGCCAGTCTCCAGGTGACAGCTGGAGAGCTCTTAAAGCTCTGGTGCTAATTCATAGTGTTGCATTCTGGAAGGGGATGCTGTGAGTGTAGAAAACAATTTATCGACAGAGTAGTGTTTTGGAAAATCTTTAGGAACTGTTTGGTGCATTTACCATGGGGCACCCACCCAGAGCCTCTGGCATTTTCTCACTCTGCTGGCATCAAAACCAATTTAAGGCAAAATAGAGATATGGAGACTTTTCCATCCTCCTTTGCATCAATTTGTCTTTGTTGGCAATGGCAACCCTAGGCCTGCAAGCACTCTCAGGGTGACTTCATGCCTCCAGACTGGCATGGCATCACTAGCCCTGGCTGCTTGCTCCTGTTCAGCAGTAGCATTCCTATGGAAGCTGCCTGGGTGATTTCGGACCAGCCACAGACTTTCTGCCTAACAGATCGCAAAGCCGAAGAGAATGAAGCAAGCTGCTTTGCTCCCACGCTAATGAGAGACAGAATTTTGCCTAGAAAGAGGCTGCTGAGAGGGGAGGAGATAAAGTTGCCAGCTTAAGGTATGGAAATTCCTGGAGATTTGAGGAGTGTAGCCCGGAGAGGGGGACCTCAGACAGGTACAGTGCCATAGACTCCACCCTCCAAACCAGCCATTTGCTCCTGGGGAACTATTGTTTCCAATCTTGGCCCAGCAGCCATCAAACCATTCTCTTCAACCCCCTGCTGTGCAGCTGACATTCCCCTAAGGTTGCCAATCTCCAGGTGGGACCTGGAGATCTCCCACTGCTACAATTGATCTCCAGATGACAGAGATCAGTTCCCCTGGAGAATATGGCTGCTTTGGAGGGTAGACCCTATGACATACCTGCTGAGTCCTTCCGCCCCCCCCCCCCCCCCAATGCTGCCCTCTACAGAATCCACCCCCCAAAACTCCAGGTATTTCCCTCCTTAGAGCTGGCAACCCTACTTTCCCCTCAGTGCCTGATGGTAGGCAACTTAGTTTGGTCCAGTCACCTACTGGGAGAAAACACATTGGGGCCAGTCCTGATAGGGTTGCCAACTCCAGATGGGAAATTCCTGGAGATTTGAGGGATGGAGCCTGAAGAGGGTGAGGTTTGAGGAGGAGGGGTGGGACCTCAGACAGGTACAATGCCATAGACTCCACCCTCCAAACCAGTCAGTCCCTCATGGGGAACCATTGTTGCCAATCTCCAGGTGAGGGCTGGAGACCACTCAGAATTATAACTGCTCTGCAGAAGGGAGGGCAGAAGTCAGCTGAAGTCAAAGGGGCAGATAGTGGTAGGTAGATGGTTAGCTGGGAAGGAGATGGGGTTGCCAACTCCAGGCTGGCAAATTCCTGGGGATTTGAGGGGTGGAGCCTGGAGAGGGTGGGGTTTGCAGAGGGGTGGGACCTCAGACAGGCAGAATGCCATAGACTCCACCCTCCAAACCAGCCATTTCGTCCTGGGCTGGAGATCACTTAGAATTACAACTGCTCTTCAGATGGCAGAGATCATTTCCCCTGGAGAAAACTGTAAGCTCTGTATCATTATACCCTGCTGAGGTTACCACAGCAAATTGACCAAGGCCAGGGCACCCGCCCAGAGCCTGTTTCTAGATCTCGTTGTATTTATTTCCACAACGGGCCTTATTCCTAGTATTAATATAAAACCAGTGGACATGGAGGTGCTGCACAAGCAGATTACGTTATCATGAAACCAGTCTTTAACCACTCCTTCACATCAAATGACTAACAACTTTCATTCGGTTATGAAAACAGTATTGCTGACTCAAGATTCAAGTTGCACAGCTGAAATTGCTGCTTCTAAATTTTTTCCAAGGAGAAGCTGTAGGTGCTTGTAATAATTCCTGTGAGGAGTTAAAGGTGAAGCCAGATCTGGAACTGGGATTGATTCCTGTAGAATACAGCTTTTGTTCTAATCATAAAAATACTTCAACAAAAGTCAAAGGACTAGACAGCACTTATTGTGACTATATATTTTCTGTATATTCTAGATTGAATATGCCAGAAATAACATGAATAGTGCCAACCAAAAACTCCAAGATGCCCAACAGAAGCTATATAATTCCTGGGTAGAATGGAAAAGAAACATTGGCCAAATTGATAATGATGATGACAGTGATGACTCACACAGTGCTGAGGTAAGTAGCTGTGAGTACATGCTGGCAACCTGGAACTGTCACACATAGTGATAATTCCAATGCAAGATGCATCTGTTGTGTTTTATCCCTTTCCAGTAGTGCTTTGTCTAATGGAACCACAAGGCAACAGAACTAAATGCTGATAATGTTAAAGGCTCTTTGAATAAATTGATCAGTAGATTTGAACCAATGTATGTGCATTAAATCAGACATGCTTGCTGATTCTTGCCCGCTGTATGCTTGCTTGATCTACATTCACAAGGCAGCTTTGAAACAGAAATGTGTTGCCTGGCTTAAGTAGCTTTGGCAAAACTATGGAAAAAAGCAGTCTTCCTTCACTTGCCTTCTTTCAGTGGAAGCTTCCTCCTTGTAATGATACTGTTTTGAGAAACTAGAATATCTGGTATGGAAGGAAGGACACTGCAATAGTAGCCAGCAGTCTACAGCTAAACACACTGAAAGTTTTTGTTAAAGGATAGGAGTATTAACCTCTTGACCCACATAATTACCACAGTGATGCTGCAGTTCAGGATTGAGCTATAGCTCTTGATACAACTAGCATTAGTCTCATACCACGGTAGAAGAATAGCAAGATGTTTAGACTAAAAACAAGTGAATGGGAGAAATATTTCTCTGTGGAGAAAGGAAAAATTGGAATGTTGCTGGGCGGTCAGTCTGACTCTACCCCAGATGACCTGGAGCGGGCGCTTCAGGACGTGGCAGGCTGGCTCAGGCTGAGCCGATTGAAATCGAATCCAACGAAGACGGAGGTCCTGTGTCTGAGTCAGAGTAGCCCGGGGGTCCTACTACCGACCTTTAATGGGGCGCCATTGGTGCCAGGGCCGGGGGTCAGGAGTTTGGGAGTGCTCCTGGATGCCGCCTTAACGATGGAGGCCCAGGTAGCAGCCACTGCCAAGTCAGCCTTTTACCACCTGCGATTGATTAGGCAGTTCCCTTCCTCAAACGCAATGACCTGGCAACAGTGATCCATGCTATGGTCACCTTGAGGTTAGACTACTGCAACGGTCTCTACATGGGGCTGCCCTTGTCCCAAATCCGGAAGCTGCAGCTGGTGCAAAATGTGGCAGCCAGGCTGTCGATAGGTCTCTCCATACAAGATCACATTCAGCCTGCACTGAAGGCATTGCACTGGCTGCCAATAGCATACCAGACTCGTTTCAAGGTGCTGGTTTTGACCTTTAAAGCCCTATATGGTCAGGGGCCTGTCTACCTGAGGCCTTTTCCCCATATGTGCCCCAGAGAGCACTGAGGTCAGGGACTCAAAACCACCTGACTGTCCCTGGCCCAAAAGAAGCCAGACTGGCCATTACGACTGGCCATTTCTCAGTGGCGGCTCCACACTGGTGGAATGAGCTCCCGGAGGACATCAGAGCCCTGTGGGAACTTTTACAGTTCCGCAGGGCCTGTAAAACGGAGCTCTTCCACCAGGCCTTTGATTAGGAGCCACCACTGACTGTTGCAAACTGAACACACCACAGCCCTACATAACAATGCCAGATATGGCCTCTCCATCGGACCATTTACAGAAACTCCCGCCATCGGTTTAACACAAGCACTAACTGTTCTTATTGTAAAAAATTTTAATCGTATTTTATTGTATTTTAACCTCCGTAAGCCGCCTTGAGCCAGTCTGCACCGGCAAGGCGGGATACAAATAGAAAATAATAATAAATAAATAATGAAACTAGATAAAAAATGATATGTGACAGAAGATGTACTAGGATGCCAAGAATGAGAGGGAGAGTATTACATTTCTATATGTGCTGGGGAACACTGGTCAGTGTTTGTTTTAGTTAAAGGAAGGCTAGAAACTCCTGTTGCACATCAGAACTTTACACCATTGCATAAACTGAGTTTAACATTTTTAAAATTTGTGAATACTCTTAGAATGTAAACTTTTTTAGCTATGAAAATGTTGCAGATAATTGAATTGGTTCCCTTTTTTTTTTGTCTTTTGGAGAAATGGGATCTTCAGCTTAACCCCACAAACACATTACTATATGGAGGGAGTGAAAAGTCTTGAACTTCCTTCCAGTATTGATCTTTTTCTTGTTTCCAGACCATTGAATCGCGCACCCTAGCAATTGCACGGAATCTGACTCAGCAGCTTCAAACCACCTGCCTCACCCTGGTCTCGAGCATCCAAGGCTTGCCACAGAACATCCAAGATCAGGTCCACTACATAGGGGCACTAGCTGGAGAGGTCTATAGAAGCTTCCGTTCAGCATCTTCCTTCCGAGAAGTGTCTGACAACATTATTACCACCAGTAAAGGGCAGCTGAAGAAAATGAAGGAGTCCTTGGATGATGTGATGGATTATCTGGTAAACAACACGCCACTCAACTGGCTGGTAGGTCCCTTTTACCCGCAATTGGCTGGCTCTCAGAATGCTGAGCACAAAAGTGACGGGGAGCAAAAGACCAGCCAGGAGGACAAACAGAATGAACGCAAGACAGAATAAATTGCGGCATGGCAAATCTGTGCTCCGTAGCCCCACTAACAAGGTGGTCTATCTCTTATAGCAACAGTATAACCTGCTAGGGCTATTGGCAGGATAACATGTTCTGATTCTGCCATACTTCCTTTATGTCTTCAACAGTGAAATGCATTTTATAAACGAGGTGACTCTTGTGTGCCTCGGCTAAGCTTATTTGTGTTTTGGTTAGAAATAGTGAAAGCTATGAATTGCCTTAAGGCTTCTAAGCTACAGCGGATTACATTGGAGAAGGCACCTTGTTTTTAGTTACCTAGATATGAAGCCCCGTCTTGTTCGAAAGTGAATTGCTATTCTGCTGCAAGAAGAAAAAAAAAACAAGCAAAACACTAGACCAGATAATGCCGAATTGAAAATCTCAAAAAAAAAAAATCCCCAACAGCATACTTGGAAATTCTTGTCCTGCTTGCTTATTTTGAAAGCTGCCCTTTCATTGATATGTACTTCATCCATGCTACCTTAAACCAAATTATTGTGGTACCAAACAAAATGCCTTGAACTTGTCATTTTTTTAAAATGCAGTTTATGACATCTGCCTGAGTTATTCATGCTTTGACTATTTATACTGTCACTTATTTTAAAATTTTAAGATTTGTTGTACTACTCAATAATTTCAACAACTTTTATTGAGTATTTGTGCACAAAACAGAAGAGCCGTGCTGTTTGTTACATGTGGGTTTTTGGTCTGTGTTTTTTTGTAGTGCCCTACCTTGTAATTTCACATGTATGCTTTAGTAATAAATGCTTCAGCAGCCAAAAGTCTGTCTCATTTGAATGGTGTAAACAGATATTGGTAAAACCAAACAAACATTATGACTAACTTAATATCAAGTTGGGTCTTCGTTCTAAACTGGTTCAATGCAAACTGCTGGTGTGCTTACCAGCATCCAATATTGCATGTCAACAGATGGGCTAGATGTTGCTGCTGCATTTGTTTCCTACCTGTGGTTCCTCATACAGCTCTCCAAATACGTGTTGCTTTTAAATCTCTTGTTCTAGCTTCTGCTTGTCGCGTGCCTCTCAAAGATCTGGGTTTAGGGCTTCTAAATGCCTAGTTGGGTTGTGACTTGGCATTGCTTGCCATAATGAGATATCCAAAAAACGTTGCAGGACATAGTCTCCTGCAGTGGATATACTACATGATCTTGACAGTCAAGGTTTACAAATGAGTAATCGGTCTTCAGAATGGTCACTGGTTTGAGTGGTATCTGCCCTAGGAGTGTCTGTGTCTCCTGCTGTGCAGATGTTCTGTTTCCATTTGAGGCTAAAATCTAACATGATTACTTTTATTCCTATGTGGTGCTGGTGGCCAGCTGGTAATTGCAAACAGGTATTTGGGTACTTGAGCATGTTAAACAGTTTTTCCATGTGGAGGAACCATCCCTCTACATACATAACCTGCAGGGGCTAATAACACCATTAACCCCACTGAAATAGAATTATAAGCTTCAGAGAACCTGGGTATAGGTTGTATGTGCATACATCTGAATTTCCAGTGGGTCACAGTTCACTAATTGCATCCTCTAAAGGTGTAAATTCTTTATGAAAAAAAATCCTAAGTAATTAATTGTGCCAGCTAAATAGCTTTTACTGGTGTTGCTGTCTTGGTAGAGCTGGCATTATCCAGCTTTAGTGTTTATAGTGATATGATGTGACTGTTCTAGCAGTAAATAGAACCTTCTGATTGCTACTTGTGCAGCTGATTTTAGAAGGCTGATAAACTGAAACTTTCAACACTTAGGGCTGATAAAGTTGCTCAATTAGTCCGAGGCTTAAGATAAGGAATGGGTTACAGACGGTTGTTATACCTTCACCCTCACACACCCCTTCAGTTTGCAAATTCTGCTCTGCAACTGATTTTGTAAAGGTATGACTGTTTCCTGAAAGAGAAGTCTCTCAATGAAATGTGTATGCTGGACAGTGCCTTGCCAAAACAATGACTTAACAGGAAATGATGCTGTAGCATTCAAGTGCTGCATGTAATCCAAGAGTTAAAGTACTGGCTTGTACAAACACTATCTGGATGTACTTGGTATGCTGTAGCAGTTTGCTATACGAGTAATCATGAAAGCTTCAATTCACCAAATAAGTGCTTTGATAATAGCACTGGGACCCAGGAGTAAGGTATCTGAGGACTGAAGCCTTCAGTTGAGAAACTGGTATTTACACATAAACCCACCCTCCTTTTACAGGTCAACAAAGCATGAGTATGGCTCAGTTGTCCCTACACACACACACACCCCATCCCTATTTGGAAGCAGTTGGACCACCTACACTTTGCTGGACTTGTTTGTTAAAAGGAGTCAGAATCACTGCATCAAGCAGTGACAGAAAACAGTTAACTACTACATTGCAAATTCATGCCAAATCAAACTGCCATTTTCCAACCTGTAAGCCTTAATTAGTAGCCTGGGAGTTACAGGGTGAGTTGCTTGGAAGGAATCTCAACAGATGGTTCCACTGGACATGTGGATGGTGCATTCTTCCAGCTGTGACTAATTTTTTGGGTGGCCTGACTCATAAGTAATGAGAAATGTGAAAATAGCAGCTAAGGATGATGATGGCTCTAAAAGAAATAGCAGAACTGACATTACTATCTGTATAACAGGGGTTGAGATGGGTGATGGCATTCTGCTGGATTTGAGAATGACTAAATACTAGAGCTCTTGTGATTGGGTAGCCAATGTATGGTGTACATGTGGACAAATAGAAGTATGTTCAAAACTTTTCACTTAGGAGGTTTCTTTCAAATTGTTCTAATGGATTGCTGTGGTCTATCTATGGGACAACTGTGCTAAGTGAACTTGGGTAACAAATGGGTTCAGATTGCTTATCTGTCCACAATTAATCTTTAATGCTCAATCTGGCAAGTTAACCCTTTCTTAAGGTTTCACTACCTTGTCTAGTGATATGCTTTTAGCCAGCTGGTCCTACGTATAGTGTCTCCTAATTTAAAAACTTAATAGCATGGATAAGAACTTTCTGTTTCCTTTTTCAGTATTGATCTAGCAGGAGAATGAATGGCTGTAGAATTGGCTAAGTCTGCAATGCTCCCTGCTTTGGCCCTCTAATAAGCCTTTAAAAGCTTGGATACTTAGTACTGGTTGTGCAATAAACTCACTGACTGGCACAGAACTGCTGTGTGTCATAGGCTTATGAGGGGCACCAGGGATCATGTGATTTCTGTATACAGCCACATAAGTCCTTATTAGTGGTAGCAAGTGATTCTGCATGTGTTATGGACTAAGGGTGAGTTCCAGTTTCCTTTCTTTGATACTTTAAAAAGTGACATTTGTTACGGAGGTTGGTTTTCTGATGCATCAGCTACCTGGGGTAAATATGGTAATATTCAAGTTAAACTTGAGCATCGATACCAGAATATATATTTTTAAAATACCCAACATTTAATACAGTATACACCATTACTACCAAGATATCACTTCAGCAGAATACAATGGGATGTTTTCACCTGGTTAGGAGACATATTCTTCTCTCAGCAAAACACACTTTCTTTGAGCTTAAAAGGGCTACACTGTGGAGTAAATACTTTGTCTCAGAGCCACTGAAGAACATGAACATAACGTTATGCATATAATGAGAAATATTTACACTTCCAGGTGTAGTCCTGGTTTCCTGTTGTATACCAATACACCAATAATTTTAAAATGTTAAAAACCTTTCTGCTGAGACAGATCGTGAAGGCAACTAACATTATTAAAAGCATATGATTACACAAAATAAGAACCAACAGCTCAAAATGGAACCATGGGACACATAGTTTAATCAAATGCTGCTAAAAGTGTGATTGAAGGAGGATTTCTTGTTGCGCTTAAAACTTAATGCTGGTGCACGACACACAGTGCCTGGAAGGCATTTCAGAGTCTTAGTACTACCATAGGAAAAGTTCTGTGTGTGGTTACCTTACCTCAGTGACTGGAGGCAGGATCTTAATAGAAAACTTTAATAGATGTATACCTTTGGGGGTATGGGTATTTTGGTAGTTAAGATAAAATGGTTACAGATGATGATCAAGTGGATCATGCTGCAGTAGATAACTTACCCAGGAATCTGTCTTCCTATTGAAATTGTACAAAGCATACAGAGCTCCTTACAATCAAAACATCTTTCCCTGTACCCTTTTTCCACACTAATCACGAAGCTTTAGTTAATAAGCACTGCAAGACCAGCAGCTGCTTGGTACAAGATCACCTCATAAGCGTAACATGTCAAAGAAGCATTTGAAACATTCTTGTAGTGTATGGATCAAGGACTGTGTTGTAGTCATAGTATTAAAGTAATATGTAGTCTGGTCTCATCCATGTTTAAATGTTATGGGTTGTATACAATGCTTAATTTTTGCAGGGCTTTTTTTTTGTTGCAAATTTCTTTCTCGCCTCATACCCGGTGCTGTTCTTGAGGTCCCTTGAATGGTGGGATTGCTCTTGGTGGGGAGTGGTCCTGTCCTGGGGCAAGGGGAATTACTGTTCAGCAGCTGAACTTCTGCTTATAGTTTAGGGTACATCCACTGTCATGGAGTTCTATTCATTAACAGCAGCCTGGGTCTTATGTCTTCTGGTAGTGGAAGGCTCTGTTGCCGCCTTTTCTATTAGATCCACTTTTGCTCCTCATGTAGATCCCTCATGTTGATTCTGGTTGTGTTTCTTACAGTTATGACAACTATGCTGTAGTTTTTGGCCTGTGCTGTAAAAGAGCTTGTGTACATACCAAAAATGCAGTACCTGTGTGGGGAGGCTCTTGCTGAACACAATACCTTCTGACAGTGTGTATAAAAATGTAGAGTTGTGTTGATAGGACACCTATGTACTACTGAGGTATATAGCAACACTAAGGAACCGCCTATGCAGATTACTGCATTGCCTTAAAGGACAGCTGATCTTTCATTTTTCCACAGTTCCTTCCACATCAAACATTGCCCAGTATGTTTTTCCCGGTTACCTGTGTCTTGATTACCTCCGTTGCACTTCATTTGTATTGGGTTTCTACTGTTTTCTGCCCCTTCATGTTCCTTGTCTCTAGCTAAGAAACGAAAGCCAAGTAGGCAAATCTGGAAGGACACATTCCTGCTGTGGCTTGAGATTTCAGGTTTATTTATTTTTTTAATCCAAACCTGCACCCGGACAGCAAGGACATAGAAAAACATCCCAGGAACTGTCTAGCTTACTGATGCCCCTTGGAGAAAATGTTTCAGTTTTCTCCAGGCCAGTTTGGCCAGGGATGCTGGAGGATTTTTGTCGTCTTCTGGGCGTGGAACAGCGGTCACTGGGGGTGTGGAGGGGGAGGTATTTATGAATTTCCTGTATTGTGCAGGGGGTTGGACTAGATGTCCCTGGAGGTCCTTTCCAACCCTATGATTCTGTGCAGGCAGATAGAAAAGAGTAGCAATGCAAGAATAAATTGCTTGATTTCAAGTATATTTAAGGGCTAAACAAAACATGATGGTTTCAGAGCTGTTTTAGATGGGTTATACCAGCCCCCATATCTGCAGCTTCGTTCCCCTATACTCTCTCATCACTTCAGTCATCGTTACAGAGCTAAGCTACAGAGAAGTACCTGACTTGAGAAATTGCAGGGAGATAGGGGTATTGTCCCTAAAATTAGGATGTGCACCCATCCTTTACATATGAGTGGGATAGACTCATAAATGCCGTGTACTGAATCAGACCACTGGTAAGGGCAGTATTGTCTGTTCTGAGTAGCAGTGGCTCTCCAAGTGTTTCAGGCAGAGGTCTTTCAGATCACCTACAACCTGATCCTTTCAAACCTGGGGGATGCCAGAAATTGAATCTGGAGCTTTTGCGTGCCAAGCAGATATTCTACCACTGAGCCATGGCCCTTCATAATCCTGCTTGGTGTAGTGGTCAAAAGCAGTGGACTCTAACCTGTAGAACTGTGTCTGATTCCTCACTCCTCCGCTGCCAGCCAAAATTAGTCAACCTGGATAAACAAGAGATGGGTTTCAAATTTATGGGCACCTTTTTATTTTTTTTACTATGAACCCATAATACTGAGACATTTTTATTCCTTAAAATGTTCTGTGGACATTTTCATGATCGGAAAGATGGTTTTGGTGGTATGCAATATGCTCTCTCTGCAGAGATGAATTATTGAAATGAAATCAGTGGTATAAAAATACATGCGAATTCCCATTGTCCTCAGTTTTGAGTCCTTGGTGCCAAATGCTTTAAGAAATGTTTCAAATTATGCCTTCAAATTTATCTGAGTTTCTTCCTCTGCAGGTTCCAGATTTCACTATCACAGACCTGTCTTCAGAATCTGATGAGATACCAGATGTTTTGGCTGTGGATGAGGAAGCCCAGCATGATTACTCACGTGCAAATGGTCCAATCACCACAGGGCAAACAGCTGAATAAGTGCCATATGTACGCATAGACACACGCACAAAAAACTGGTTGTAGTTCAGTATATATACACACTTCTTTGCCATGCTGACTTAATCCTTGTGCTTTTTGAATAGGCATTAATTGGTTCATGGGGAGTACAGAATTGTTTTATCGATTTTGTTTATATTAAATCAGCATTCTGACTTTTTTTTTTAAAGCTGCGAGTAAACACATTAGCTTAACATTTTAGCATGGGTAATGGATTCTCTTATCCCACAGGCCAGATCACATTATTTAACTGAACTTAAACATCTGTCTAAGATTTTATCACAGATTGGTCAGTAACAACTTGCTGAAAGAACTCCCCTAATAATTGACACGAAAGCCTATCTGTAAGGAGGTTTGTTGGCTGAAGTTTCCTCCTTCAATTCCTGTATTTTCGTACCGTCAGATTTACCTTTTGGCTTGCTTGGAAGAAAAAAAGCTAAAGTTTTATGTTTCTCATCTCTTGCTGTTTCATAGTAGTATGTCTACATGACTGATTTGGTGTGCCCAGCTCTGAAAGCAAATTTTGACTGGGTTTCAGCAAAGTGGAAGACTCACTCGCAATGCGGAATGACAATTCTCTGTAGAGGGGGAAAGGGGGGAATGGGTTTGTGCTCGCTGCACCCGCTGGATTCAACATAATGTTATAGCACCCATGTGCATATTAACTACATGTGTAGGCTCTGTCAAGTGATTAGAAACCCTTATTCTTGCTGGGTCCCCAATCCTGGATAGACCCTTTTAGCTCACATGGATTTGTACATATTGAGGAAGTAGGTATTGGTGCAGTATACCTTCCTTGCATGGACATTCTACAGAGCTAGTGTATCTTCCTTCTTCATTTCTCTTTGGAGGTGTTTTCCTCTTTGGAGATTTTCTGCTCTCTTAAGATGGCCAGGTTTGTTCTTGTGGTAATCCTGTATCTGAGCTGCATTACTTCACTGCAGGTAGGAGCTCACAAGTTAACAATTCAGTATTTTTCAGAAAAAACCTGGAATGTCAGGGGAAAAGGCCAGTCTAGACTTCTACCTAGCATCTGATTTTCTGTGTAGAGGAAACATTGTGAGTTCTGACAAGTAGGTGTGTGACCCAGATACAGGTTTCAACAAGAGCTAGGTTCTGAGACAAAATCCAGAGTTGGATGAGGGTACATAGTGTAAAAGCAGGTGAGAAATCTGGAGACAGGGAGAAAGAGTAAGAAGTCAAAAAGAACAAACGTGAATGTGGTGAGAGAAAACAGAAATGTAAGAGGGAGATATGAATGGGAGGAAAAAGTAACCCTCTGTAGCAGTGCTCTTTTGCACTGCTCCATATTTGCATCAGATCAGCAAACAGCCCTTACAGTTTGTGGTGCTGCTAACCAGGAGCTTTAGCGGAAGCTCTAAAGTTGGCATCAGAAACTAAGATATCCTTGCCAGAATGTGGTGTTCAGATGTCCCTTAAACATTGTTGACAGCTTTGTGTGTGTTTATCATGATGATGTGAAGACATGCTGTGGTGCTAACTTACAGGCTATGCCCATGTATTTTGGACAAAAGAGATGATTTGACTTGTTCTGTAACAGGAGGTAGATAACCCCCACTGTAATTTTTATATATATCAGATTTATACTGAAGTTTTAAGAAATGCCTTGGAAATAAAGTTTGAACTACATAACTGATGGCGGCTGTTGTCTCACTTTTCCTTTTTATTTCTATTTGTGCTGTATTCCTGAAATAGTGGGAAGTTCATTATTTGAAGCTGCATGGTCTGAAAGCATGTGATACAGCAGCGTTGCTGCAGCTAAGCAAGGGTGCCAATGGGAGGCTTTGTTACAGAAATGTAGATATGCTTTCTGGGGAGAAATAAGTTGAAAACAAATTTTGCAAATGTGAAAGCTCTGTCTGAGTATTCTCTCTGCAACTGCCTCATCTGTCCAGTTTCACACTGAATTCTCTTTTCTGTGTGCCTCACACGGCTACACAAGAGGACAAATATGTTTGGGGAAAGCCTGGCCTATACATACAACAGCGGGACTCTTCAGATGGATGAGTGGACTGTTCCACTTTAGGCTGCAGGAGGGGAAGCAGCATATAAAAGCCTTCCTTTAAGTGGAAAAGGTAGCATACCAGAAAAGATTAGTCAAACCTGTACTTTAAATGCTAGTCTTCTAGTTTCAGAGAGAAGTTTTTAATATAGTTAAAAGGTAAAGGTTCCCTTGCTCGAAAGCCAGTCGAATCCGACTCTAGGGTTGCGGTGCTCATCTCCGTTTCAAAGCCAAAGAGCCAGCGTTGTCTGAAGACGTTTCCGTGGTCATGTGGCCGGCATGACTAAACACCAAGGCGCACGGAATGCTGTTACCTTCCCACTGAAGTGGTACCTATTTATCTACTTGCAATTTCTTGCTTTCGAACAAAGCGTTAAAAAAAAAGTAATACCCCACCGGTACTCTGAGTTCATTCTTTGGTCTTCAGAACAGGTCCAAGTCCTGCTGCCATGTTCCAGGACTTCCCTTCATTCAGTACAGTTTGATGCGGGACTGTGGCAAAGAGAGTGTTGTTCCCTTGGTTCCTAAGAAAACCGCTAAGGAGAATTTAGGAGATGAGTTATACCTTTCTTTAAAAAATCACTGTTTTTCAAGAACTTTTACAAAAAGTTTTGGCCAGCAGGAAGTTGGGTGATTAGATGATTTAAAAGATAATTAAATCACTAATATATGAGCCAGTTTAAAGGTTGGTGTGGTAGTAGCATTTACTTCTCTAGGCTGAGGGCATACAGAGTCAAGCACCAGAGTATTTATCAACAGAATCTTTTATTGTGCCTGGGGTAGTACTTCTATGACTAGAGGAGTTAGTGTTTAAATATGCCCTCTAATTACAAAGGGCTGGCCCCTCTGCAGATAGCGAGATCTTCGGAATGGTGTCTTCCATAATTACTACCTAGGGCTCCCTAACTCTGGAGGAAAACTGCACTTTCTATTTTTTTTTTAATCCTGTTTGTACTTTTAACCATCTCCCAAATTTAGCAGCAGCATCTGCACATACATAGCTGTTGCAGGGAACAAAGTGTTGCAATCTGAATGCTTGAAAACTGTAGCAAGGAGATGGAGATGGTGACCAGGTGGTGAGGAGAAATGGGGATTTTTCCCACTCTAGGAAGTCCCCTTCTGGCGCTATGTAGCAGCTACCTACCACTAGCCATATTGCAGTGCAATATAAATGCCACCAAGTTCAATGATACCTGCTCCCTAGTAAATGTACTTAGGATTGCAGTCTTAGTCTACTGTGACGAAACCAGGCGCAGATAATAAATCTGATCATCTTTTCGATGCTACTAACCTTGAATGCTGTAAGCATGCTCCTGCTGCTGATGTTGGTATACCACATTATAGTAGTAACATTACTTCAGGTACATTTATATTTCCACTAGTTTACACCTCTGGAAGCATATCCATAAAAAATGAAAAAATGAAAGCTAACCCATACTACTAAACCATCAGTAGAACAGTGACTATGATTAAGCTCAGAGAGCCAGTTTATTGTAGTGGTTAGGAGCGCCGACTTCAATCTGGGAGAACCAGGTTTGATTCCCCACTCCTCCACTTGCAGCTGCTGGTGTGGCCTTGGGTCAGTCACTGTTCTCTCAAGAGCAGTTCTTGAGAGAGCTCTCTCAGCCCCACCTACCTCACAGGGTGTCTGTTGTGGGGAGGGGAAGGAAAAAGGAGATTGTAAGCTTCTTGGAGACGCCAAGTAAAGGGCGGGGTATGAATTCAATCTCTTCTTTTGCTTCAGAGTAATGGTAAAAGTTTGCAAAAACGTGTGTGTGTGTGTGTGGCTGACACGATGCAGATGTCCACAGTCAAAAAAAGGACAACTTAGGAGGTGTCTGAACAGTGGGAAAGCATGTCTGGGAGAACTGGAATGGCAAACATAATTCTTATATCCCATTCTTCCAAATGGGAGTGTGTATGTTCCCCTCCCCCAGGGGCTGGCTCTGTAATGAGGCATGGTGAGGCATTGACCTCAGGTGGCAAAAGGGGAGGGGGTAGCAGCCTCCACCACCTTATACCCCTTATTGCCACCTTCTCTTCCCCGTCTGCCGCCACCTGACTGTGCCCAGGACTACTTAAAACAGAGCCAATGGGGAACCATCCTCTATTATCCCCCAGAATTATATTGGAAGCCACTTTGGGTCCACACTGGGGAGAAAAGCAGGACATTAAAATCCAGAGACATATCAAGGAAACAGCCACAGTTCTTAAGGAATCATCACATTCTTTTACCCAGTCCTTTTAGGCAGTCTCTCACTGTTTCTTATGCTACATCCCTTTCTTGGCTACCGGAGGCGGGATTCATCTTAGAAGCAGGATACACGAGCACCATCTGGTGTCCACAAACACCACGGCAGTCCACTCCTTATTTCCCTGCAGAATAGGTAAGTTTTATTTGGAAAAAGGCAGGAAACAACAGCAGGTGCTTTCCCAGGGTTCCAAATAAGAGCTAATTCACATACTTAGCCTTTCTGAATGCCGCTATGGGGATGGGTGCCAAGCACTGTTCCTGTGTCTGGCGATGCCCATCAATGACAGCCACCGGCTCAGCAAAAAGGCACGAGAAATGAAACACCATGCAGTTGCACGCTACACTGTTCTACTCGAATTTATAATTATTTATTATTTATAATTATTGCTGTTTAAATTATTTATAATTAACGCCATTTATTTATAATTAATGCCAAATTATTTATAATTAATGCCATTTAAAAGCTCCCCATGATTGTAATTCTCTTTCCTGCCAGGTATATCAGCATCTTGGTTGGCAGCTGCTTTAGTTCCACAGAATAAGCAACCTAATAAAGCAAAGAGATTTATTGGACTGTGTCATCCTCAACATGGAAGTGAGCTTTCAGACAAGGTATTTTTCATCAGCCCTATCTGGTGCGAGTAAATCAAAATCAACAAATTCTTTCATTCAACAAGAAGGAAGGTAACTCAATTACTGACATCCCAACCTTGTTGGAAGGGATCAGGTTATACATGCCTGGATTTCAGCAGTAAACTAATTAGAAATGTACCTCACTGTCAGAGATTCAAGTGGGTAGCCCTGTTGGTCTGAAGCAGCAGAACACAGTTTTAATCCAGTGGCACTTTTAAGACCAACAAAGTTTAATTCTGGGTATAAGCTTTCATGTGCATGCACATTTCTTCAGGTACCATAGAGAGAACTAGCTAAAGTTCACTGGCATTTCTCTATACAATTGGTTCAGGCTTTCTGGAAATGCAGTTCCAGTTATTCACTTTGTACTTTGAGGTCACTCCACATCTGTAGCAACAAGAAACTTGTTTTTATCAAGAAATGTTCAAAATATATGAGAACACATGGGATGCAATCCTGCACATGGCATATTGTACACATTTATCTGGAAGAAAGTCTACAAAACTCTGTGGGATTTACTGCTGACTCTACATATGCCATGCAGTTTATAGCAGGCTCAGCCCCCATAGGGCCATTTTTCATTCTGTTAATTTTCCCACATACCTGTCGAGTCCCTTTTCTATGGGTGGGCTGCGTTTGTCACTTCTGAGATTGGCACACACTCCCCGCTTAATATTAGATGATGCCAATTATGAGAATACTTGGCATGAGCAAATGTCATGACATTGGGGTGCCCCAGTGATGTCACTTGGCCGAGATTTTATATGAAAAAAGGAATTTGATTATATCCAATTAGCAAAATTTAGCAAAAGGTCTTTTTGGAAGTGAACATAAGGCACTGGAACAAAATAAGCTTGGTTCTGGACTAGCAACTCACTCTGGAACTTAAAAACATAATTTTAGGAATTTATTACAAAAATAGACAAAACATAAAACACACATGATGTAAGGGAAAAGAATGTACAATGGAACAAGGACCATACAACAAAACGACAAACCTATCTGACTAACGTCTCCTTCGATCTGGAATGCTCCTCCTGTTCAGCAGAGCCTGCACAGCTTTGGGAGGGATGCACATGGAGCAGAGAAGGCCTAGCCAGCCAGGTCAGCCAAATCAACCCTGGGGACCAATGGGGTGACAGATGTCACAGCCAGATCGTCCTCACAAAATTCTCTTGGGGGGGGGAAATGGACATCGTAACCAGTCCTAACAACATTCACAGGCCCCATAAAAAGAGCCTACGATCCTCCAAAGATACACCTGCTGCCTGCAGAACTTAGAGGGCGCGTAACTTAATTTCTACCAAGAGGACTACGCATCCCAGAATGCAATGCAGCCCACGCACAGTCTCTATTATAGAAAAAGAACGCCACATGCGGAAGTTTTTTTGCGAGAAGGGAAACAACTATCGGTAGTCAGCCGCAGTGCGTGCTGGGACTGGGGGTTACGCCGTGCTAAGCAACCGGCAGGTGACGTGAGGCGTCTGGAGCTGCGCAGCTTTTTATTGGCTGGTGCGCCTCGCCCTCTATCGTGACGTTGTCCCTCCCCCCCCCATTTCTATTTTGGCGGCTTAACCCAAATGGCTGTGAGAGTGCGGGCCGGGTTGGTGTTAACGGAAGTGGTATCAGGCTGTAGGCGGGAAAGTTTCCTTGTCTGCGAGGGGAGGGCCGTCGCCGCCTTCTGTCGATAATTCCTTGTCTGCGAGGGGAGGGCCGTCGCCTTCTGTCGATAGTCCGCGGAGGCCCGTTCGCATCTTTGTGAAGCGACATTAAGGCCCCTTGAGGCGCCGGCCTCCTAGTAGCTGGCTGGGACTGCGAAGATGAGCAAGCAGCCTTTGTCGCCGCCTTCTACGTGGGAGGGAGAGCATCTCTGGCTCTACCTTCTGGCCCTGGGCTTCGATTCGGGAGGAGCCGCCGCCGCCGGGAAAATGCCCCTGCATCTCCGCCTGGGCCCGTGAGTAGAGTGGGCGGCTGGTAGGCAAAGTGGTTGTCCCCTCGCGGTTTCTCTCCTGGGCTACAGAGGTGGTTTCCCCCTGTGGTGGGTGGGTCTGTGTGTCCCTTGGAGGTGAAGTTGTAAGAAACATACTGGTACATACGTCTGAAGGGGCGAATTGTACCTTTTAGGAAAGCAGTGCTTCTCGAATTTCTGCCTGTGGCAAAGTGGTTAAAAGCGCAGAAGCTCCTGCCTGGGGAAAGGGGTGTGTGGTCTACCCTAATGGGTGTTTAAGAATTGTATGTGCTGTCATGTTTGCTTTGCAGAAATACTGTATGTCATGCATGGATTAAGTTTTTAATTGCACTTCTCTCTCTCTTTTTTTTGCTCAAGGAATATGTTTGATAAGCCAAACAAAGATGCATTTCACATTGTTTCATTCTTCTTGTTTTCGAAGCTGGACCAGTCACGTTGTAATGAGGTCTTTAGGTAAGCATGAAGTGTCTTTGGCTTTATGAAGTAGTATGTTTAATTTCTCGAAGCCACATTTCACAAAGCAGTATTTAGTTTCTCAGAGTCTTCTTGTGGTAAGAATATGGGTGCATCAGCACTTCTTTGAGTAGTGGAATTGTAGGAGCATACATTGAGTTCTCTTTTTGAGTAGAGAGCACTGGAATGTCTGGGTGCTTTTTGCTTTATCTTCAAATATACTAATAGTGCCAAGAGTAAAGATGAAGAGGCACTCCTGTATAGCAGCCAATCTTTTACCCCATACAAGATCTCCTGAGAGACCGAGAGGTCCTGCATCCCAGAATGCTTTAGCCACTGCATTGTACCTTTTCTTAAGCTCTGATGAGTTCTTGTCCAGAGCCACTGGAGAGCCATCTCTTAACCACTATCCCCCATTGAGGAAACATCCACAGTAGTTAAAGAACACTGACATTTTGTCATAGACATTGGTTTTCATGAGCGATTTGACACTGCTCCTGTTAAGACATTTCATACATATCCACTCTGCAATATGTTTGGACACTTACTCTGTACATTGATTGATTCCCTTTTATTTCTCCTCAGTTGCCTTAAAACTGCCTTAAAACACTATCTTTCCCCTAAGAATAGAACGATTAAAACACATTTTAGTGTATTTTCTGTACAACAGAGTTCTAAGCATTCAGAGGAAGTCTTAACTGTTGTCTCAGTTTGTAGTAGCCAGAGACTAATGTGTGCTGTGACATTTTAGGTCTGATCCAGATGACTAGTTCCATTGTTGCCTTTATGGAATTGTCCTGTTGCTCCCAATTCAAAGGAATTGTGTGCTATCTAGCCCACTTATAATAAGCAAGGGGCCTTGTTGTAGGGAAAAAACAAAACATGTTTTTTCCCCCCAACAAGACGTGTGATCTAATGTCCTATGAAAACTCAGGAAAAGCTGTTTTACTTTTCTTTCGCACTGCACTGTAAAAAATAATGAAATAAATTTCAAATGCTTTTCTTACATCAAATATATTAATTTAGGAGGAACGTTGCTTTGGTTAGCATATATATATGTAATTTGTTGCCTATGCTTAAACCTGATGTAAACCAGTAATACTATTTGTAACTGAACAAAACCATAGTCACTAGGATTGTTTCGAGAGCATGATGTCACTATGTTAATAGCTTACGTCCCTGAGAAATTTTCTAGCCTTTTAAAATTAAATGCATCTATAATTCTATGTGGAAAAAAATGTAGTGCAGAAGGGGGCAGTTGCTGGGAGCTAGAATCAAGCTGCTTTTCAATTTCCTTCTTCCTCCACCATTAAGGGTCCTCTAAACTTTATTTAACAGAGAAGAAACTTTACAAATATTTTAAATAAAAACACCTGAGTTCCTAAAAACCTTTCTTGATCTGTAGCTTGCTGTGTGTATATACCTACTGAAAGAGTGCAATCAGCTAACAGTGAGCTTCTCTATGCTTTGTTAGTCTCTGCTCTTGTAAGAGTTCCTTTTCTGCAGGCTGCTGATACTAGGGTCTCAGTGAGGTAGTAATTAGCAAAATAACATATGTTCCTTATTAATGTCAAGAATAGTATTTTCTTAGTAGTACATTAAGGTTTAGCTCTTGAAAAATACGTCTGGGAAGGCAGTTAGCTCTAGCAGGAAAAAATTAGTAACGATATATTTTTATGTAATTTGAACATTTGAAAAGGACTGACTGGTGACAGTACTGCAGATTTCTGCAGGGACCAAGCTGGTCATTTTAGTTTCTCTCCACGTTTCATTTTCTGTTAGCAGAATTAGTGTTGTAACTTCTTTTATTCCTATCAAAACCAACCTGAAAATGAGACTACAACTATGTATCTATAACTCTGCTGTGTGGGTATATTATTTGTCTGGGCAATCCATTAAGTTTACAGTAACTTGCTAGGGCATGGAATTCACCAAGAACCTTTTAATTGTTAGGTTATCCATGTGCAAGTAATCTGATTTCCTGAATATTTGCTGAAATTTATCTCTTTAATTTCCCTTCCCTGGGAATGGAATGATTTTGTTTCCCTCCAACAGACAAGAAGACAGACTCTGAATTCAGGAAGCAATGCTGCGACTGGCTAAGAAAAATTTCAGTAAGTACTGGTTAGAATGAAAAGTGGTATGTGAAAACCTTGTCTATCTTTGGCTGTAATTGTTGACATTATGGATATTTTTTCTGCTAGATGCACTGCATATCAGCAAAAGCTTTGTATGTGGTGTTCTATGAAGTATACCTTCAAATGTTGAGCCCCATCTTGTCTTTTTGAAGGGTGAAGACAGTTTTCAGGCACATAAATACTGTGTGCATGTGTACCTCTTAATCTTTACAGCTGGCTCCCATATAGGGACAATAATTTGGTCTGTCTTATAATTATTCTTTTGGGCTTTTTGCATTTTAATTCTCATTTGGGTCCTTCCAATTTGAAATGCTTAGAGGACATGAAGTTGTACTTAAAGGATTCATTGGCAGCGTAAAGGGACAGTTGGTGTTTTTATGCTTATACTGGATTCTGGAACCAGTGATAAAAACTGGTTTATTTCAGCCAACAGCAGTTCTGTGGCAGAAGAGCAAAAGATCATTGTGTCTATTGCCACTTTTCAGGACTATTAGTACCAGGTGTCTTATTAACTCTGTGCAGGCCTTAAGTAATACTAGAGCCAGATATGTTGATTGTTTGGTACTTATGACAGGTTGTTTGGCAACTTGGCTAAGATTCTTTTAAGTTAGGTGACCATTTGCTGTTCACTAGACAACTCTAAATGATCAAGATTGGGCCAAAGACTAGACCGTGCTTTGTCAAAATGTATACTTAATCCATTTAATTCTCTAGGATGAATATGGGAACAGTTTTCCTTCAGTACATGCATCATTATTCCTTTCCCCTGGTGGTCCCAAGTTCATTCACCTAATGTACCACTTTGCAAGATGTGTCCTGTTGCATCACATCAAAACAGATTCTGCAAGTAAGTGATAGTTTGAATGTTTCTAAACTTAAAAGCTGGGCAGTAGGACCAAGAAGTAGTTCATGGAATGCTGTCCATCCTGAACTTTCTTTTGCTGGAAGGTAAATTAAGCTGCGCTGCTAGGCTATGTGCAATCTGCCTTATGTCAATTTTGCAGAAATATATACTTCTTCCTAACATTAATCTACTTGTCACAGAACCCTTGTGTGTTGTTGAAAATCTTGAGATGCTCTTTTGTTTCATAAGGCTGGATTCCACCTGTGTGTGGAACTTCTCCCTCAAAGCAGCCTAAAATGTCTCCTCAAATGCTGTTTTTGGGAGATGGGAAATCCCAGGAGCATCATTAGGAAGGCGTCACGGGGAAATATCTCCCCCCCTCACATGTGTGGATCTTTTGATGGGATCTTTCCCCTTGTCTATTGTGCCCTCTGGGAGCTTTGTACAAACCGGTTGCTCCAGCACTCTTCTGTGGCCACAGGCTGATGAAGATCAGTAATAAAACCAAATAAGCTGTCTTCTGAACAGCTTGTTCACTATTTTATATAAGCTGTCTTCTGAACAGCTTGTTCACGAGTACTGATTACCTCATTTCAGAGCTGTCTGCTAAGGTTCCACAGAATGGTTTGAAAACTACCTTTATTGCCAAATTTGATTGGGATGATGGGGGATAGGTACACTAGCAATACAATAAAGATTATTCTTCTTTCTTGTATTCTGTTTATAATAAAACATGTCTGGAAACTTAATGTTAGTACCCAGGAGTTTGAATAAGAACATAAGAGAAGCCAATATTGGATCATGCCAATGGCCCATACAGTCCAACACTGTCACACAGTGGCCAAAAATACCAGGTACCATCAGGAGGTCCAGCAGTGGGGCCAGGACACTCGAAGCCCTCCCACTGTTGCCCCCGCCCAAAGCACCAAGAATACAGAGCATCACTTACCACAGAGTTCCTATCTATATCTTGTGGCTAATAGCCACGGATGGATCTCTGCTCCATATGTTTATCTAATTCCCTCTTGAAGCTGTCCATGCTTGTAGCCGCCACCACCACCTGTGGCAGTGAATTCCATGTGTTAATCACTCTTTGGGTGAGGAAGTACTTCCTTTTATGTGTTCTAACCCAACTGCTCAGCAATTTTATTGAGTACCCACGAGTTCTTGCATTGTGAGAAAGGGAGAAAAATACTTTTCTCTACCTGCTCTATCTCATGCATAATCTTGTAAACCTCTATCATGTCACCCTTCAGTTGTTGTTTCTCCAAGCTAAAGAGCCCCAAGCGCTTCAACCTTTCTTCATAGGGAAAGTGTTCCAACCCTTTTATCATTCTAGTTGCCCCTTTCTGTACTTTTTTCAGTGCTATAAAATCCTTTCTGAGGTGTGACCAGAATTGCACACAGTATTCCAAATGAGGTTGCACCATCGATTTATACAGAGGCATTATGATACTGGTTGATTTGTTTTCAGTTCCCTTCCTAATAAGCCCCAGCATAGTGTTGGCCTTTTTAACTTGTTGAGAAGATTGAGAATATAAGAGAATTAGATTTGCTTCTGGAAATGCTATGGGTCGAAATAGTGGGCCCGAAAGGAAGCTTAACACTGGGAGTTTATCGCCCACCAGATCAAAAGCTAGAGGATCATAAGATGATAAATGAATTAAAGATAGCGACTAGATGAAATAACTGTGTCATAATAGGTGATGTTAACTACCCACACTTTGTGCTTTCATGCCAATAAAGGTTTTGTGTTTGTTGTACTTGTTGAACTACCCTCACATTGGTTGGGTCAATATGTGTTCAAGTTAAGAAAAAGAGACTGAGTTTCTAGACACTCTCAATGACTGTGCTATGGAGCAGATGGTCACAGCAGGGGAGAGGCAATCCTGGATTTGGTCCTAAGTAATGCCCAAGACCTGGTGAGAGATGTAAAAGTGATTGCACTGCTTGGGAACAGTGAGCATAATGTTATTGAGTTCAACATTTGTATAAATAGGGAGTTGCCCAAAAAGACCAACACAACCACTTTTAATTTTAAAAGGAGTAATTTCTCTGAAATGAGGGGACATGTGAAGAGGAAATTGAAAGGAAAAGTTAAAAAGGTAAAAACTGTTAAGGAAGCTTGGAGACTATTTAAAACAGGGGTGTCAAACATGTGGCCTGCAGGCCAGAACAGGCCCTCAGAGGGTTCCAATCTGGCCCACAAAGACCTGGCTGTTTTCTGTTTCATTTTCCAGTTTTTCTGCCGCTGCCATGTTGCAGCTTGCTATACCAGACTCTCTCAGTTGCACAGGAGAGATAGATAGGCAAGCCTCTCCTGTGCGATTGAGAGAGTCTGGTAAAGTACTGGCTGAGGCTCCTCCCCCTTCTCCCAGAGGGAGAGAGGGAACTGGCCAGGCTGCCTCAGTCCTACAGTAGACAAAGGGAAGCCTTTCTTCCCTTCCACTGGCTGAGGCTCCTCCCTGAATGGAGGGAGGAAACAAGGGAGAGCTTGCTTTGCTGGGCAGCCTCATTTGCATGGGAGAAATACCAAGCACCTTTAAGACCAACAACGTTTTGTTCAATGTATGAGCTTTTGTGTGCCTTGCTACAATGTGTCTGTGTTTTGTTGGGCTCCTTATGCCAGGGCTTTCCTGGGTGCAACTGAGTTCTCTCCCCCTTTTCACTGTATTCATGCCCTCATGATCCAGTCCTTCTCAGTAAGAAAGCAATGTGAACTATTTTAGAGGAGGAATAACAACAAGCCAGTGAGGTGGATTCAGACCAAGTTCACCCAAGACATTACCTTTGTAATAGGTTGTAGTTATTTCTCTAAGGAAGTATAGTTTTCTAGACAAAAACATGGCTCTCAGTCTGTGCCAGGATGCCTTCTCTTGTTCTTGACCAGCACATGAAACAACTTATGTACAAAAACTCACAGTGCCCAGCCATTTCATGGTTTTCCTTGGGTCCCAGACTCAACACTGAGCATGAGGTTTCTGTAATGAATGTCAATAAATCAAAAGTAGGTTTGCAGCTTACAGATACACACCTGAACAGCATACTCAGGATTGCTACAGCACAGACATTTTGATTCAGTAATTCAGAGCAAGAGGTGTCAGTTATCAGAAACTGTTAAATAGACAAAATATTGCAAGACTGCTAGTGTGTTCAGCATATTTTATTTAAAGTTTTAAAATCTTTGTGTTTGTCTGTGTCCTTTATAAAAGTTTATATCTCTGCTACCTGGCGTTACATTTTATGACATACATGGCCAAGCCCAACAAAGTCTCATTTATGTCAGATCTGGCCCTGGGCTAGAGCATTGGTTCTCAAACTTGCCCGTTAGCAAGGCATGAAAGGAGTGGGGTAAATGAGAATTAAATTACAGGGAGGCTTAAAATTTACGTGTGTTTGAGAAAAAGAGATAACCCACCCCACCCCACACACGACCAAGACGTGGTTTGGTTGAATACTTCCCATGGTACGTTGGATATTGTGGACTGATTGCTGGTCTACTTGCCCCAACTTGATTTGGGAAGAGTTATTGCTTTGTTCAGACAATATTTCTATAAAGAATTTCCTTTTTTTTTGTCCCTCTTCTAATGTTCTTCTATTAGTGCTGTAACTAACCAATACTTAAATACAAATAGGCTGCTGTTGCCTGTGGTTGTGCATACAGAGATCCTTGCTTCTCTGTAAAGTATTGTTAAAGGGAAGTCTGCACTTACAGTTCAATATGGAAAAATAACTAACCACTCTTCTGTAGGTGCTGGCACATACTTTCCTGAGTCGCTAAACTCGAGACCTCCAGACATCGATATGGCCGTTGCAAGATACTGCGTGGCATACAACAGATTTTTGTGGAATCTACAAAAGGAAGATGTAATAATTCAAGAACTTCAGAAAAAAGCCCTGTGAGTGGAGATTTCTACCAATGAATGCAATGTATGGTTATCAGGGATCTTATTACTGTTGGATATGTGTATGTTCTTTAACTTTTATATAGACATTTGCAGTTATATCACAGAGATTGATACAGTTGGGAAAAGTAAACCACCAGTTACTGAGGATGACTTCACAGCTTTTCTGTATTGTCAGGAAATATATTTCTCAAATGAAGAAGCAATTGAAATCACTTTTTTCTTACAATAGCCATCAGAACTTAGTTGCTGATTCAACAAACATATTTTGTTTTGTAAGTGTGCCTTGTGACTTTACCTTTCTGTGTATGCAGGGTTCTCAGTAAGCAAGTAAGAGATTTAAGATATGAGAATTCAGAACTGGACAAACAGCTCCAAAAGTAAGTGTATCTTGGGTTGCTTACATGGCAATTTTCTGTTTCTGCCCCAGTTTCTTTCTGCATGTGCAGTGCAGTAATGATTAGGGGTATGACGAGAACATGGAAGAATGAGGTTATGGAATTTTGTGTGCTTGTGTGCATGTTTGTACTCTCCTGCTCCTGCTGAATTGCCAGAGTTAAGAAATCAGGGCAGAAATGTACATGTACACAAAAGCAAATTTTAGTTACACATTGTATTGCACAAATCGTACCTCTGGCAATAAAATTTACTTTTACCCCCTCTTTCTGACTTTTGGACAGAGCAGAAAAAAATACTGATCAGAGCCAGAATAACATAACAGAAAAAGTTAAAAAGGTAAGATGCTTTGCCCATGTTTTTTCGGTTGCCACCATCTAATACCAAACTCCTGTCAGTGTCAGGTCCCCAGTTAGTACACTCTCCACAACACTATTGGCAGTGATGCTTTATTAGAGATATACTTACATCAGAAACTTGAATTTTGTCAGGACTGAAGAGAGAGGGAGCGGGAAAACTTCAGGTTATAGGTAAAACCCAGTACACCCCCACCCCATGCATTTGTCAGCAATCAGCCCCTAGTGTTACTATGGCAACCCTGAGATATAGGCAGAGAAGTCTCCAAGGCCAAATCCCATGAGAACAGGCTGAGGGGTACACCTTAGGAAATGGTTATGGCTACTACTGGCATTCACTCTAACAACATATACACTCGCCTCAGGAATTCCCTCCCCCCATAATACATGGCAAGGAAAGCAGTGAAGCAAAACCAAGTGAAACGAAACTGAAACCTTGACATTCAGCAGAAATAATTTTGTATTCTAAAGGTGTCCGTTTTGTATTCTAAAGGTGTATGTTTTCTTTCCCTTCTCCTCTGCCCTTTTCCCTATACTGTCTCAAAGGTTCGCTCTATGTGGGCATTGATAATAGAAACACTTAAGCTTCTTCAGAAAGAAAGACAGGTTGTAGATTCGGTTGTCAATGGTCATGAAGGTCAGTATATATTAGATGGCACCAGCACTACTGTCAATGTTCCAAGGCTCCTGCTTGAAAAAGTTGAAAAAGAAATGCACAGAGTAAGTTTCTTTGCATCTTTATCTCCAAATACCATATTACTTTCTGAATTGTTTGGCTTTGTTGTCTGAAACAGGCTTGTAATAGCTGTGTGAGCAGCAGCTCTTCATTTAAAGCCTACAGAAAAATAACTCAGCAACATAGTTAAGCAACTTGAACTGAGGAATTCTATTTTTTTAAGTCCATATATTCAGTTTTAACAGAAGTGTGTATTTTAAATTACAGGGAAAGCCTGTTTTAAAATTTTTGGATTTAGACAACTGAATTAATTTTCTCCAGTTCAGAAATCAGTATATGGCTTGGATTCATGGGAAGGGTACTGCATGCAAAAAGGATTTCTATTTCCCCACCTTCTCTCTCCTTCTGTAATCTAAAATGTCCCTCAGAATGCTGCTTTTGGGGGATGGGGGGCCTCCAAGAGCAGCCTGAGAAGGAATTTGGAGGTCTGTTGCTGTGACAGGGGTGAATTGGTGGAACCTGTCCCTATGGAAATTCTCTAGAGTTGAAGCTCATAGTATAATATGCATCTCCTACATTCAAGGGAATTCGGTTCATTCCAGTGGACAGAGCAGATTGTTCACATGCAACCGAATGTATGTCTGTTTTCCTCCATTGGGTGGGAAAAAGAAGCCAATGTAGCTGCAGAAAATGGTATGCATGTGTCAGCTCTCCTTTACATATAATTGATTACTGTTTGAAGGAAACTGAAATTAAAACCTACAGGCAGGGTTAGGCCATGGGCAGTTCATTGATCCTCGAACTGAAAAAAGCCCCTTAAAGACTAGCAAACTTCATTCCAGCATGAGCTTTCCACAAGTTGGCTCTCACTTCATCAGATACTTCAGAATATCGCGTTGAATTGAACCTGAGACTTTTCTGCATTCAAAGCAGAACCTTTGCCACTGAGCTATGGCCCCTCCATAGCCTGATAACTATTTTTTCTCTCCCAGCAGTGAGCTCTGACTTAGAAAAAATTATGTTGGAGTAGATTTTGTTAGTGTTCAAAATGCTACTGAACTCCTGTCTTATTTTGCTGCTAAGACTAACTCTGCTGCCCCTCTGGAGTTTTCCTAACTGAAAATGTATATAAGCTGTGTGATGCTTTCATTTCCCACTGCGATATTCACTTTTTCTCTATCCTGTTCTTAGTGGTTGGAAGGGGATGGTCTGTCATGATGTGCGAGTGTTACTAATCAGTTGTTCATTGTAATGTTTGAAGCTACAGGTAGGAAATATATATGAAGCTGGAAGACTAAATATTTTAACCATTTTTGAGTTATTAAACAAAGCCTTGGAAATGTTGATGCTTGAACGCCAGCATATCGACAAGAATTCACTGAAACTGGATTTTCAGTATTTTGAAGGAAAGGCCAAGTTTCAGAATGAGACTTTATTGGGGTTAAGGTCACTGAGGTGAGCGCAATTGCTTTTTTGTTGGCACAATCTCTGTTCAAACAAATACTCTGTGCTCACCCCTCATGTTATATGTCTCTCCATTTTTCCTCCTGAAATTCTTAGCAGACTTGTGTTTTATGCAGCCTAAGTCCTACTTTGAGGTATAACTAGGATGCTGTCTGCTGACAGAGATCATTTAAAGCTGATTCTCCTCATTGTCTATTGCTGAAAGAAATGTTCTTGCCTTTCAGAAATAACACTGGCTAAAATCTGGGCATTTAGTATGTTAGATATCTAAAACACAGGTTGATTTGTTCTGAAATGGTTTTGAATATCTTACAAATAATATGTAAATGAAACAGTCATATTATGATTTTGCAGATTATTGTTTTCTAGATAGATTATAGCCTGGTTTATACAGAATAATGCTTCCTACAGCCGCAGTAGATTTACAGAACAGTATTAGCAGTAACCTTACATTCTAGATTGCCAATAATTTAATTCCCTCAGTTTGCTGAAGTAAAAGATGTACATGCTGGCCAGTAAACGTATTCTTGTTAATATTGTTACAGGCACAAATTAAGACATGAGGATCATGTATCAATAAATCAGTCCATTGCTGAAAAACAAAGAGAATGGGATTTGAAGTGGGAGAACTGTCTTGGAGAGTCACCTTTTCTTTTCATTAAAGAGCCTAACCCTGTACGTATCTTTTTTTGGAAAAAGTAAAAGAAAATGGAAGGACTTGTGTTCAGTAAGAAGAAATATGTATTAAAAGCATGTTGAAAAAACTTTTGATTGTCAGTTTCAACTAGTAAGTTCATAAAAATATCCATAGGAATGTTATGCTTTGTAGGAAATGCTTAGTACAACAGGTATATTTCTTCAGTTCTGCTTGACTGACAGTCAAGCGTGTGGCTTTTCATGTGCTTATCCAATACGTAGTGGCAGTCTTTTGGATGGAAACTTCATATATTGTGTGACTTGTGGTGTTTGGGTATCCAGAATTTTAATCACATTAATACTGGCAGCTAAGAATATATTTGACCTTAACCTGTTTTTTCTTTTTTTAAAAGGCACTTGATTTATTACCGGCTATGCCTCCCCTTTCCTTTACCCCTGCTACAGAGGAAGCTTATAAAAGCAGTATATTTTGCCAGTATCCTGCATCAATTCCTGGTAAGCTTTAGGAACCTTTTTTTTTTAAAAACTAACTTAGGAAGAGTCTGACCTGTTCCCTGGTATCTTTATCCTGTGTGTGTAATTGTGGATTTCAGAAGAGGCCACCAGTGCTGTTCTCTGCTTCTTAGTTACTGTGAGAACCCAGTCCCACAATGTCTGATATAGATCAGCTGTAATAATGAATTGGTAAAAATGTTACTGACCAATAACTGTGAGCCTCTATTTTGTCAGTATCATTTTTAGCAATTCATAATTATCACAGCTAATCTATATTAGCTTTTGTGGCGGAACGGTCCTGTGTCAGCTGGCAGGCCCCGCTCTGCCCACCCCTCCTTTGCCTGACCTGGAAGGGCAGTTTTTCTCCACTGCCTCCGGGTATTGCTGCCACCACTGTCCCTGTCTTGGGCTCTGGTTAGGTGGGACAACCTCCTAACCTCCCTCCGGTGTCACTAGGAACCCACCATGGGGCTTCCTGGCAATCTTCAGGGCTCCCCTGGAGAGTTGGCAACTGGCCGTTTGGCCCTTGTTCTCAGGAAGTCCCCAGTCCACCCCTAGCGTGTCCAAGCGGCTCAGGGAACTACGCAGTACAGAGGTACTTCTCACTGTTAACAGTTAAAGGATTTATTGAAGAACTTAACTATTTACAGGCATATCCACAGTGAACAAAAGTATCAAAATAAAGGTGACCAAAATGCTCCATCTCTCCCTTCTCTACACATGCCCTGTCTACTTCACTTCATTGGGGAAAGTTGGATCAACATGTCTCCCAAAACGGCCTCTGCCTTCTGCAGACTCCAACCAAAAGTGACTGGCTCCAGACTTCTGACTGAACTGGCTTCCTGCCCATAACTCCACATTATAAAAGAGCAGTTTCCCACCCAGGAAGTGGCTCTTCCTCCTGCAGTATTCTGGGGCAGATCTCCTCACCACCATGATGGACTTTCTGTCCTCTCTAGGGAGCTGTCCTCAGACTACTGGTTGGAGACAGGAGGGGGGAATGAGGAAGAGACTAGGCCCAGGCCCTACCCCAAGTTTGATGGCCTCTTCCTATCCAGCCCACACCAACTTAAACACATCCACAAAATGGCGTTTCTCCACAGCTTTCATGCAGTTAAATATTCCAGCTTTTCTCTTGGTCAATAAGGTTGGTTCTTAAAACAGGCATAGGGAGGTAGGCTGGATAATACAGTTAGGCTATGGCTATGGAATATTAAGGTGTTTAGGGTGCAAATCCAGAAGATCTGTTCCATCAAGAATTCCCAGGGCTTGATGGTTTAATCAGTAGTATTTCCAGGTCTAAAAGTTTGTGGTAATCCAGAGCAAGGGATTTGAATACTTTGTCTTGAGGAACTGGGACGTTTTGAACATATTACAATCACTGTAGTCTACTATGAGTGGCAGCAGCTTTGTTGGGTAGAAGTAAATCCTGGACCTTTGGCATGCAAAAGATACTTTACCACTGAGCC